CCGGACCTCCGCGGTAAACTGGTCTCCAGGATCCGCGGAGTGGGAAGGCAGTTTGAAGCTGGGCGGCAATCTGTCGCTCAGCGCCCTCCTGTTTCCGTGAACTCGTCAACCCCTGTGTCTGGGGCCGACGTCCCGCTGCTGGGGCGTGCGGCCTGGCATAAGGGGGGGGCGAGGGAGTGGGAGCAGGAGGGAAGAGGGGAGAGTCCTCTCGCGGTTGGGTCGGATGTAATCCGGCCCTTCCGGGAGGGGGCGGGGCCCCGGGTACACGTCGGGTCCTAGACCCGCGTCGCCCGGTTGGCCCGGCCAGGACGGGGGATCGGGGCCGCTCGGACGTTTCCGAGGCAGGGTCCGGTCTCCCGGAAGACCCTGAGGGCCGCTGGGACGTATTCCCAGGCAGGGCCTCGGGGTCTGAGGAGTTGGTCGGCAAGCCAGCCGACCAACACCCGGTCTTCCGTGATGAAGCGGTCGGTCCCTGCGTCTGGGGCCGACGTCCCGCTGCTGGGGCGTGCGGCCTGGCGTACGGGGCTGGCCGTGGAGGGCGGAGGACCGGTTTGTGTGCATGGTGTGTGTGAATGGGCCGCGGCCGGCTGCCGGTGGATATTTCCCTGAGACTAACCAAGGGGGGAGTAGTAAACCCCCCGACCGGGGACGAGCGGTGACGTCTGTACCTGACCTCTGCCATGGACTACGCGGGACCGTAAGCCCAGTTTACTGGCAAAGTCCGCAGGAAGTGGCATGTTCAATGTGGGAAAACCGCTCCCGTCTCGTCCGTCTGGAGCCTATCAGGGAGTTGAAGCCGGCAGTCCGGGCGCGGGTATGGGGGGGCCGGTTAGCCGCCGACCCTCCGTACCCAGCTGAGGGGGAGAGTTCCTCGGCGAGCTCTAGCCCGGGGGCGGGATGAGCGACCGAACGGATCGGCACGCGTCCCGTCCCTGGGGTGAGGATAAACCTCTAACATAATGGTGGACCTGGCCGTCTCCAGGAACCCTTTTTATAGAGTCACTGGCCGGGATAGGGGTGGCTCCCCGACAAGCGGCTTCTCCGCTTCCCGGCCCATAAATAGGGTTTTACTTAACCGGGGATAGTACCCCCACTGCGGTGGGGGTCCCATGATGGGCGAACCGGAGTAAACTATATCTGCCATCATGAAATCTAAACACACAACAAAAAACCATGCGGAGATTCAAGACGGTGAAGCGGGCAACTCCAAGGGGACAAAGGGAGGTGGGTCGGCAGAGCCCCAAGGAGAGACCCGACGAGACGGAGCCAGGGTGCTGGCTGTGAGAACGCGGAACAAGCCAGGGCCGCGATCCTCCAAGAGGATCCAGGATCTCCCGATCCCGGACTCAGACTGGTCCGACACGGAGGTAGAAGAGAGGGAGGATGATGTCTCCGACACAGATAGCGAGGTGTCATCGACCTCTTCCGTGGACCATATCACGGGTAAACGGAAGAAGAGAGGGAGGCCCCCAACGACGTTCGAGGGGATCAAAAAGAAGAAGAGGGAGCAGGTTAAGAGGGGGATCCGGCTACTCAAAGCCGAAAAAAAGGCACTGGAGGAGGTGGCTAACCCAAAGGTGGCCCCAAGGAGTGCGACGCCGGAGAAGGAGACCATTCGTCGAATGGAAACCCTCAGCCAGGAGGAGATGGCGGCAGAGATGTTGGAAAACATCAACGTCGTCGTCAAGGTTGCCGAAAGGTCGTCTAACTTGAAGGGCATGTACGTTAGGGACCTGAAGGCGTCTTCCGCGACGCTACGAGCGGCGGCAACTGTGGTGGCCACAAAGCCAGCGGGCCCCAACAGCGCGGCATCGGAAGAGATAGAGAGGTGGAAAGAGAGGGTCAGGAGCTTGGAAGACCAGGTGGCAAAGCTCACGGCCCTCCTCCAAGAGGAGAGAGCCGCAAGGATAGCGGCAGAAAAGAAAGCGGAGGAAACGGCCACAGTCAGGGAAACGGACATGGTCGAGGAAATGCCTGAGGTAGTGATGGAGGTGCCCGACGTGCGGCAGGAAGCAAACCATTCCTCCCAGGCCAGCACACGAGCGCAGGACCAAGGGAGGACAACAAGGCTGGCGAACCAAAGGAAGCCAAAAGCCCAGGGCCGAAAACAAGAGGCCGTCAAGAGGGGAAAGATGG